AAGCTACGTACGACACTCAAGCAGGAATAAGGAAAGCAAGAAAGAGAATGGAAAGTAGCTAGGAGATTTAGTTGCCAGGAATAGCATATCTGTATTTGGAATTCAAATTGCCTTTTATAGGCGATTACAAATGGGAACTGCCGAACATAATGATGACTAAATTAGGGGTGGACCGGTTCCGGTTCGAGCCCGGTTCGGGCCTGGGTTCATGAAAGGGGAGGCCCGGAACCGGCCCGGGTAACCCCCGGGTCCGGTCCGGGCCGGGCCTCGGGTCATGTAATTTTTTTTTGGCTTTTCCTAATTAACCCCCAACCCTCCCCCCTCACCCCCAAACCACCTCAAATGGTCCATCATACTCAGCCCAACCCAAAAACTTAAAAAAAATTCAAAAGAAAAAGAAAAAAATGAGTTGGCCCGGACCAGGCCCGAACCGGCCAGGCCGGTTCACTATTTAGCAGGTCCGAACCGCCTACCTCACCGGGCCGGGTGCCCCAAATCGGGCACCAACCGGTTCACCGGGCCGGTCCGGGCCCGCACAGTAGCGAGCCGGTCCGGTTCCGGGTCGGTTGGCCCGGGCCCGGGTCCACTCCTAGACTAAATTAATTACAACATTGATACGGAATTAAATACATAATTAATAGTGCATTGATTGTTGACCGTTACTCTTTCTGGTTGGCTGGCAGGTCGGCCTGGCTGGCAGACAGAACGCTTGAGCTCCTCGCGCGGCAGGCTTCCGCTGGGCTATAAGGCAGGCCGTTGGCCGGGCTGGAAGGCAGGTTCCTGGCTGGGCTGGAAAGCAGGCCGCTGGCCGGGCTGGAAGGCAGGCCGCTGGCCGGGCTGGAAGGCAGGCCGCTGGCCGGGCTGGAAGGCAGGCCGCTGGCCGGGCTAGAAGGCAGGCTCCTGGCTGGGCTGGAAGGTAGGCTCCCACCTGGGCTGGACCGCAGGCTCCTGGTTGGGCTGGAAGGCAGACTCCTAGCTGGGCTGGTCGGCAGGCTCCTGGTTGGGCTGGAAGGCAGGCTCTCCACTGGGCTGGAGGCAGACTGGAGGCATGTTGTCGGCCGGGCTGGAAGGCAGGCACCCCGCTGGGCTGGAGGCAGGCTCTCTTGGGCTTCCGCTCCTTGATTGGCCTGATCGGTTGGCCCGACTCGAGCTCTGGGTTGCTAGGCTTGGACCTGCTGGTCCAAGTTCGGGGCCTGGGTCGATTAGGCTCTGGGCCTAGTCCCATAACCCCATCACGAGTCCCCCACTCCCTTAATCGAGTAGTAGACTCGGCTAAAAGGGAGTAGTTCAAGTTAGCTGCCAATTAAAAGATATTCATATACCAGGGAGCCATAATTGTGGATTCTATCAATCCCACAATTTATGGAGATTTCCAAATTAAATACATAATTAATAGTGCATTGGTTTTAGTGATGGGGTTATGGGACTAGGCCGAGAGCCTAATCAAAAACAATTTCTTATCTCTTTTATTGGTTTTAGTTGCAATATTTTTATATATATAATATATTTATTATCTCTTTTATACTCCCTCCGTCCCATAAAGTTTGTCACACTTTCCCGAAACGGATGTCCTAAAATGTTTGTCTTTCTTTTTCAACTTCCTTATTTGGTAAACAAATCTATACCAAACAGTGGCAAACATTGTCGCTACAGTGTGAAACAGTGTCGCTACAGTGTAAAGTCAAATTCATCTCCTTAAAACTTATTTTGTCAAACTATGACAAACTTTGAGGGACGGAGGGAGTATGTGTTTTAAGACATAAAGTTTGTTTATTTCGACTTACATTTGATAAATGTGTGTGATTTACATTTCTACATGTCTAAGTTATGTTTTTAGACAATTTCTCGAATTACATTTGATAGAATATAAAGTTACATCTTCTAGTACGTGAGTTACATCTTTTAATGCGTGAGTTACATCTTTTTATGAGTGAGTTACATCTTTTTATGCGTGAGTTACATCTTTTAATGCGTGAGTTACATCTTTTTATGAGTGAGTTACATCTTTTTATGCGTGAGTTACATTTTCTTATACGCGAGATAAATTTAGACTTGCCTTAACAAGTTACATTTTGCATACACCTAAATTAGATTTTCCATCAACGCGAGTTACATTTTCTATAACATGAGTTAGATAACATCATAAAGCCCTGCTATTCAAACAAAACAATCAGTTTTATGCAAAAAAAAAGCAAAAAAAAGTGATTTCTTAGGCAAAAAACTGATTTTTTTAAAAAAAATATTTTTATGGCCTTGATATAACAAACAGAACATATTCACTATTTAAGTAATCTCCTGCTATTGAAACAAAAAATCAATTTTTTTCAAAAAAATACTCCCTTCGATTCCTAAACAAGTTCCACATTTGACTTCACACATATTAAGAAAATAAAATTGACTTTACTGTGGAGTGCACTGTTTGGCACTGTTTGAACACTGTTTGACACTGTTTGACACTGTTTTGATGTAGATAATAAGGAAATGTTTGAAAGTGAAACTTAATTTTGAATCTGCCCGAAAAGGAAAGGTGGAACTTATTTCAGAAACGGAGGGAGTATAATTTTTGGGTGAAAAAAATGATTTTTTGAATAAATAAATGATTTTAAGAAAAATCATTATTTATGGTCTTAATATTAAAAACAAAACATATTCACTATTTACGTAAAGTCATTGAACAATTAGATTCCTTATTTTCATTGAAATCAATGTTTTATTTCTTATAATCCATATTAGACAAGTTACATTTCGACTTGCCTGCAGTTACATTTTGTATCAGCGTGAGTTACATATCTTTACACGTGAGTTACATCATTCATGCTACCAGGACAAAATGAAAAAAAGTTACACGTGTACTTTACAATGTATTTTATAAAATATCTCATACTTTGTTAAACCTTTTCATTTTAAGCTAGTTAACAAATCATTAAGGGTGTTTTACTTGGATTGAAATTTTTCTGGTATTGTTTGGTGATAAACGTGATAATTACTTATGTTTTACATAGGTACGTAATTATATTTATCTATACAAAAATAGGAAGATAAAACAGGTAAATATTCCAATGTGAGCAAAAATGTGAAAAGCGACTAGGAGCGACAAATATGGGGTCAAAAGTTAAAAATGATCGAAACTTGGCACTTCTGGATCAATCGAGGATGCTGAAAAAGGGACAAAAAAAATGTACATGGTGAATCGCAGTAACCGGCGCCGGTCAGGCCACAACTGGCGCCGGTCGAATGTAATTTTATGAGAAAAGGGCCCGCAATGCACCAGAGCCAGTCATTTTGTGCAACCGGCAAAAAAATATGCCCAATCGACGCCGGTCACTTGGCCAATCAGCGCCAGTGGTCTCTATATTACGCGAAGAATGCATAGAACCGACGCCGGTTCGGCCTGCAACACAACGACATGCAACCTGTTCTTGATGGAAAAACTTCACCTTCCTTATGATCTGATCAAATATTGCTTCCATACCTGATTGTTGGGTTCGAATAAATTAAAAGATGTCATTCTTTAGCCTATATAGAGCCCGCAATTCATCAAACAAGATCAGCATTCATTCCATAGCTTAATTCGTAGCTTTTATATTTTTGTTCTTGGTATTTATTTCAAGTTCTTAAGGAGGGAAGAATATTCTCAGAAATCATTGTTGTTTAGGTATGATTTCCTTTGTAATTTCATGTTCCATTACATTTAATTGTTGTATTGTGATTAATATGAGCATTAGAGACTAATTTATTAGCTAAGGTTAGGGATGAACCTCTATGCCCACTAGGTGTTTGACACAAATTCTATACCAATAAATTATGATTTATCCTTTATACTTTGATTGTTTATGACTATAGTGTACAACATAGAAGTATGTTAAATTTAGTTTATGCTTGCAATTAACCTTGAGCTCTAAACTATGAACATTAAAGGATAAACATATATAGCACTGAGAATAGGAATATATTCGATCTTATATGATACGGGGTGTGATGTATTGATATTCAATGGGGGTTTTTGGTAGATGAATGTAAGTCGTAACGAGACTTCACACAATGAAACCACACTCTCAATGCCTTAATCGGACTTGGGAATATATTAGCGAAATCATATTCATAATTATTGAAAAAGAACTAGTATTAAACTCTATTAAAGCATTTAGGTGAGTCCTGATTGCCTTAATAATCCTTATTCTTGTTTAAAACAACATCATAAAACAAAGTTCCTGAAAAGTTGCATCATTCCTTTACTTTGCACTCAATACTCAAATGTTATAATATCAACCATTTCCATATGGATCGATCCGATATTTACCGGTAATTTATTACTACATTGGCACTTGTATACTTGCAAGTTTAGCCAAATCATTTGATCAGGTCTTGTCTAATCTTGTATAGTATGATATGGTATGGTATGACATGATCTGAATTGATCTGATCTGACATGTGACAGAAATAAGTCCAAATAAAAGTATCTTAAATCATTTTCCCTCGGTTGTTCATCTATATTTGGCGAATGAACATAATTTTGTTGTGAAAACAATTTGAATTACTTTATGAACCCTATCGGAAGTGGCTTCACAGCAAGTTCATATATGTAGTACTAGTATTATTTACTCTACTAGATACAAAATCATGTACTACCTCCATCTCTGAATGATTTCTAAATAAGGTTTTACACGAGAATTAATATAGTGAAATTTGTGTGATAATAGAGTTATGTAGAAGAGCGAAAAATATTTGAGAATATGTAGGAAATATTGTGAAACACAAACTATTTGATAAAAGGTGAAAATGAGATTATTTTAAGATAATTGAGGAACAAAAATGCTACTTGTACACGTCGCATTACACGTCTAAGTGTAATTGTCTGTGTACAGACAATTGATTTTAATTTTTGTAAAGTGAAGTATCTGTGATCCAAAAAATAAATTATCTATGCACGGACAATTAGAAATTACAAGCACTTTCCTTTACATAAATTAAAAACAATATTTTGTATATATAATCCACGTGTACGAGTAGCCTAATCTACCGATTACTCATTGAAGAGGGCTGCCGTTAGCACCTGTCACTCTGTCAACGGAACCGATTCATCCAAAGAGGCAAGAAGGAAGAGCAGAAACACTGCACAAGTGCAAATGGTGATTCTTTCCATTTCAAATTCACCACGCTCCTCTCCCTGCACCATGCTCTCTTTGAGGTATTCCGACGGACCTCACCCTTTTAACCTATCGACAGTTTCTCGATCAGCTTCTCAACCCCCTTTGCCGCAAAATAACAGCTCTCTGAACTATAAGTACTGCCCCCTCAGGTAAATGTGACGAGTTTACCTTTTCAATTTATACCAGTTCTTGCTTATGACCTTCATTTCAGCTACACGGTTCAAAAGGATTCTGATCTTCACGGAAGCAATCATTGATTTATTGGGTATTCTTGAAATGTTGTTGCAGAGTTTCGATTGATCTAAAGGGAGGGATGAAGAAGAGATTGAGAAGTGGCGTGGTCTGTTACTACTCTGCTGCTCTGACTCCTCGCAATCTTCATTGGGTCTGCACCGTCTCCTCTGTGTAAGTAAATAGTGTCTTTTTCAACTCATATATTTTCCATTTATTTTTAATGCATGATTAATCATAGTGATGGCCTCATGGCCTGATGGGGTATACTTCTTTGGCATGGGAAACCCGGATCCAGGAAGCCAGTTAAGGTAGGTGGCCTAGTGGCCTGTACCCAGAACCAGAGAATAGAACATCTGCCTGAAATCAACTGGTAGATGCACCGGCTTTGGAGTCTGGACGGCCATCTTTTCCGGTTAGAGTGGCCAAGGTGCTCGCTGACAGTTCCAGGACTAGGAGAGAACGCAGCTCAGGCAGGAAGTCATTCAAATTTTGTTCTCTAAATACCCTCATGAAGAAAACGATACACTCTTGTCTTAGAGATATAACATTTAAATACCCACACGAAGAAAACGATACACTCTTTGCTCAGGCAGGAAGCCATTCAACTTCTTGTGCTTGCACTGTATGTTCAGATCTTGTACTTTAGCTCTAGACTGTAGTCCTTTTAACACTATTCAGTCATATACATACAATCCCGGGCCTCAAGTTTTCCCACTAGGACCCTTCTGTATATTATTTGGTGTTTGTTGGGCCTTCCCACTTTGGCTCAACCCATTCGGCTAGGATTAGACCATCTGGACGGGTAGTCTATCTCTCGTTAATTTACAACATCACATTGAAACAGCCAGTTTTTATATTATCATATTCCATTAGATATGATATGCGATTATGCACTATTTTCACTCATGGGCTAACATGGTTTTAGACTTTTAGTTTGCTGGTTCACGGATGTAAATCTCCTATGATATACATAGTACATTTTCTCATGTTGAAATGATCACTGTAGTGCTTTTTATTGGTTGAGATAAGTGAAATATAAACCAAATGGTGTTTTAATCGATCTTTTATGGTTTTACCATGCAATAAGTCTTTTTGCTCCAGAGTAACACCTTACAACGTTACAGACCATCTATAATGTCATCCTACTTCTGATAGTCTGAGGTTATGTTTTGACTGGTTCAGCCTTCTAATGACAAGGCAACGTCAGTTGCAACTCAAGGGTCCCTTTGGAACTCAGAAACGATAGGGAAAGAAAACAGGGAAGGAAAATAGGGAATGTTTGGGGGAATTTGGAAGGAAAGAAAATGTGAGGAAAATAAATATTTATTCAAACTCGACATATTTACTGTTGATATAAATATATTTCTGTCATGATAAGACTAATAAACATTAACATGTGTAAATTGTAATAAATTTAACAACATTATTTATATTTCAATTTCCTCGGTAAAACCCAATCAAAAGAAAATAACTGCAGTATTTTTTACCTTTCCCTAGCATAGTTATTGTTTGAACTTGAGATTGTGAAAATGTGAAATATTGTCATTGAGTGTTATACATTTATGTCTCTATTTACCTTAATGTTTCACACCTTCTGCTCAAAGTGCGCAGTTGCATTATTATAGATAACACCCACTCTTTATTTGATTTTTTTTCATATTCGTAATTTCTTGTAGTAGTCTTGTATTCAGCCTTACTCCGCCTCCACACCATGCAATCACATTTGACTACTGATGATAAGATGGATAAATGGTCAATATGAGCAAAATGGTTATTGTAAATAAAAGATCAATTTAAGGTGGACTAGAGGGTATAGAGATTAATGCATGTAATATTTATTTCTTTTGTCTTGATTTTGGTGATTTGGCCATGTGTGTAAAGGACCAAGTGATTCACCTATTAGATGAATTGGGAGGTGGAAAGAAGATGCATAGATGAGAGGGAGAGGATGACCCAAACATACGTGGATTAGAGTGGCCGGGAAGGATATGGTACTCATTGGGTTAGATGAGAGAATAACTTTTGACAGAGCAAACTGGAGTGATAGTTTACGTGTGGAGGATTGATCTATATATGTTTGTCTCCCTTTTCTCTATTTATCTTTTTGAACTCCGTTTTCATATGTTGATTCATGTTAACCGACCCCAAACTCTTTTGAGACTAAGGCTTGGATGTTGTTATTGTTGTTTTTGTGCTATAAAGATGGAGACAAATTGACCCCAATGGATACTCAATCACCCTATAGCCCCCCCCCCCCCCCCCCGAGTCTTGCATGCTTCCTATGAAATTACGGCTTACTTTTACGTCAATGAGGTTTAGTATTGGAGTTAAGGATTGCATGTTTTATTCTCACTTATTGTTCTATTCTCTTCTTTAGGGTTTTGATGCTTGCCAAGGGAACTTCTATTCATAAATCTTTTCTTGTTCCTTTATTTGCTTTACAAGCCCCATCAGCTCTTGTCTCATGGATCAAGTAAGCCACTCTACCCTTTATTTTTGTGGTTTTTCATCATGGTGGTTGGTGGCTGAATAAAATGCTACTCCCAATGTTATATTCTAAGCCTTGATAAACTAATTGGACATCGGTTTGTAGGGGTGAGTATGGCATTTGGACAGCGTTCTTGGCACTTCTGGTTCGCCTTTTCTTCTTCTTTCCTGGTCAGTTTAATGGAAGTTTCTATACTCTTTAGCATAGATTCATCATTGTTATGTGTTATATTGGTCACACTGATAGCAGTATAACTATCCTCACAACATTTTTTGTCTTTGTTGACCATAAGATGTCTTGAAATGATGTGACTTGGTTCATCAATATTAGAATTTTCAGTATGTTGTCCATGTTGGACAGAAGACATGAAGAAATTAGCAGGAATGACCCCATCCGTATGAAGAATTCGCTACTTTGCTTAGATTTATTTAAAACGTGTTCACCATATATTCTTCCTTTGTTAGTTTAATCAAATTCTTTTCAAGAAAATAGTCGAAATATATTTGAAAGGCTGTGTTAATGGAGAAAGTTCAAATGGTTATGTGTCCAACACCTTACCACTACTGGAATGTGTAAAGGAATTGTCACAACTATGATGGATCGTTTTACAAAAGTGAAGAATAATAAATAGATGTTGTAAAATACATGCTACCTATTTTGATAATATTTTAGTATGGTATCTTTGGAATAGTGATGCCCCCATTAATAAAAGTTTTCTGAATCCTATGAGAAATGTGAAACTCAAGAGTTGGACCTACCTTTAAACAATATTTCCCCTCCCCCCAATATTCTGAACTTGAGATTTTTTTGTTATGATAATTAGAATTAGGTGAATGTCTCGAAGAAACATGAGTTTGCAACCCAATACCATCCATTTCAGGTGATCTGGAACTTCCATTAATTGCACTACTGATGGTGATCGTGTCCCCTTATCAAGTTTCAAACTTAAGGTTATGTCTTTTTTTGTTCGCTTATTTTGCTGTTATGTAGCTTTCAGATCTGTTTCTTGATGCAAAATTTCTCTTTATTGTACTTTGGCAGGGGGGCAAAGGAGGGTATAATTCTTTCCCTGGTGATATCAACTTATCTTGCTTTCCAGCATTTCTCACGTGCAGGAAGCTTAAGAAAAGCGTTTGATCAAGGTTCAATCATTGCCACCGTAGCCATATTATGCATTGTCGTTATACCTTGCTTGCTCTTGATCTAACTGAATGTAGAAGCGTCATGAAAATGGCTTCATCTGTAATTAATGGTTTAATATCTATAGATTTTTATAGATTTTTCTCTTGGGAAATCATGAGCGTGAAAACGACTTTAACAGTTTATGCTTATGTATTTATCATGTAAACTTTATGGATGAACTGTCAGTTTATTTTTTTGCGGCTCTGTAAAAGTTTGTATATCTGGCCAGATATTTGAGGATTAGGTATATTTCTTCTTCTGTTTTTAAAAATACTCCGTATAACTGATGTTTGAAATAACATCGCAAGGGTCAAACTTCAAAGGGAGACTTGCTTTAATCAGACTCGCATGGTAATATGCAGAAAAAAAAATTCTCAATTTTAAGAGTTGTTACTATCACAATGTTAGGGACCCGGTAGAATAAGAGTAAATAAGAAATGTAATAGATAGAGTTGTATAAATAGAAGGGGAGTGGGCAATAAAGGGTAGGCTGTTTAGACTCATTTGGTCTTGGACTGGGAAGTTGGAGTTTATCTCCTTCTTTGGGACTGTGTACTCGGATTCTCCATTAATGAAGCTTTCAGTTTTCTTAGTTACCATTCTTCTGTTTGTTAGTGAACTTCTGTAATTGCTAGGGTTCTAACACACAAAAAGGAAAAGTGACGCTTTTAATCCCCGGTCCTATACCACTGACTCACTTTTAATGTCGAGTCTTATTAGAATTGAACTCTTCGTTTCCCCTGTCATCACTTCCTTATCCTCGGAACTATAATGGGTGAAAGAGGATTAAAAGCCACTTGGGAACCCAAAAAATACAGAGGTTTATTATTCGGTCTTCGGAAGACCTTTTAAATAAATATCCCGGTGATGGGGCTGTTTATAGCGTTTTAGATTATCATGTCTGTTAGGAGGCAGAAAATGCACGTCTTTCACTACATAAATTAAGCTGAAATTTTCTGTCTATGATAATGAAGTATGTATTTAAGTGGGAGTTTATAGCTATAAAATACCGACTACATACATACATACATACATCAAGATGACTTTCTTCACTTATCTCTTGGCTTCCTGTTGGATCTAAAAGCCATACAGAGGTGAAAGATATAGAAACTGCTGACTGCTCCTTGGTCGTGAGCTTTCGAGCATCATGATGGTTCTGTCTGTGCCGTGCCTCTGAAGAGTTTGTAATGTAATGTTTGGAGGCAATAAATAAAACATACTGGATTCATGTTGCAACTTCAGTGCTCTCTCTTTCTCTTCATTTAATCTGACTTTAGATTTACATATGATGCAACGACAGGAAAGAAAGCATGAGAAGTAGTACTAGGTTTGCTGAGAAGGTGCATGCTGAGTTAGGTGAATCTGTCGGCGCCCCATAATCTAATGATTCCGGGGTATCTACTGCTGGTTGACCTGGCGGGGGTAGGGTGATGGCTGGTGTTGGTGTAGGCGGGCTGCGGCATTGCAAAATTTCAAATCAAATCGCCAACCACGAAATACAAGTCCCAATTATTTTTTGCAAATGTATAAACAAATGGTAGTCCGTATGTATTTGGTTAGTTGTCATGTTCAGTTTTTGGTTAATAACAAATTTGCTCACATAGTTGTAATAAATGTCACCAGAATAAATAAAAAAGAAAAAGGGTAAAGTAGGAAAATAGAGCTATTAGTGGAGTTAAAAAAAGAAACATAACATAATGAGGTTTGCTTGGTGTACACTAGTTTGTGTACACTTGTCTATCTGTTTTGTGTGTGTAGACAGACAAGTGTGTCAAAGGTGCTTGTACATTTGTCAATGGGGAAGTTGGATTTGGTAAGGGAAGAAGCATGAGGATGTTAAGTTGTGATTAAATTTTACCTCAAGGGAATGGTGGTTGGAGGCAGTAGTGTGGGGGTTGTAGGCGGCAGCATGGTGGGGGTGGGAGGCGACTGTGTAAGAGGAGGCGTGGGGGAAGCAGTTGATGATGAATAGCTGCAGGCGCCGGTACCTGAAAGATGAGAGCGAGGGATATTATCATTATTATATAGATAGGAAAAGAAGATGGATTGGAATAAAATTGCAGGCTTTCTTACTTGGATCTGTAGTTGTTAAGCTGGCTGTTCCTCCAAAGTCACAACTGGTAGGAATTGGGTTTTTTTGGTAGTAGCTATTGAATGCATAAGAGGCGTGAGCAAGGAGCGTGTTTGGCTGGTAACAACTTCCGCTTGCCTGAATAGCTGAACAGTCTGCCCCGTAGCCGCAAGCGTAGTCCAGAGCCACCTGTAAATCAGTAGTTGCAGCATCTGGCTTGGCAACACACCATTGTCCGCTCGGTGCTGACGGAGTTGGGTTCGGGTTCAGAGAGGGTGCAGGGTTTAGACTGGGAATGGAAGGGGTTGGGTTCAGAGGGGGCTTTGGAAGCGTGGGAGTAAGGGTGGGATCTGGGGGGGTTGGGTTTGGAAGTGTGGGAGTAAGAATGGGATCCACTGGGGTGGAAGGAGGAATGGGAGTTATTGTGGAACCCGGAGGAGCGGGAGGGGTATTCGGAACTGGATTGATGACGGGAATATCAGCTTTCGCTACCAGCTCATCGTACATCATCATCAACTCTTGCCGACGAGAATCATCATCATCAAGTTTTTTGCTTTTCCGGATTGCTTTTGAGCCATGTTCATCATCCTGTCTCTCTGCAATACTTGTTCCTGAAGAAAGGAAGGAACAAACAAACAAACAAACACCTACATCACATCCATTCTCTCCTATCATCTCTTTCAACGCTTCAAGTAAAGGATTTCTTTTGTACCATCCATACTATTGTAGTCCTAAGATTGTAAAGTTTAGGTACTTCCCAATTCATTTTTTCATGAATGTTTTTCATCCATCCACCAAATTTCAACTTAAAATTCAATCGGTGAATCACTTAAATAAATTATTGAAAATTGCGCAACTTTATACATATAAAAATGCAGTTTTTTTCGAAATTTATTTAACTGACTTCCCGATTTAATTTTAAACTGACATTTGGTACACATAATCTACGCTTCACGGAGAATATGCCCACAAAAATTTAATCAAAAAGTTCGATCCGGAAACACCTCAAATATTACTTAAACAAAGACTCATTACAAATCATTAAACACGATATTTAATTGGAAATCATTAAAACGATTGTTTAATAATTTCGTTTCGGAGTATATATGTTGTATACACGGGTCCGCACACATATTCTTCACTGGGGTGAACTTACCAGTTTCGATTCAGTTCTTATTGTTTTTTGGGTTCGGTTTGGAACAGATTGAAACAATGATTACGTAACAAAAACCATACTATCTTTCGGTTTGGTTCGGTTGAGTTTGTTATTTCTGAATAACATGTGATGGTTTTATTGAATTTCTTTAGTTCAGTTTGATTTCATTTAATTTTTCCCGTTTTCGATTCGGTCTAATACCGTTGAGAAGAAATACTATCAAGCTCAAACCAAATTGCGTATGTTTCCGTTGGTTCATATCCAATTCAAAGCTCATCATTACATTTACTGATTTACACTACCTCAACCGTCAATGATCGCACTAATTTTTTACTTGAGAGAACTTGACTTTGTATTCCATTCATTGGCAAGTTTTAGACGGGCGGGGAGCATGCATTGTTTTTTTAAAATGAGATATAAAATCTAATATAGCTCAAATAATGAGGTGCAAAGTAAAATTCCACTATATAAGAATTGTGAAAGAGGGAATATATAGAGTTGAACATGCATATATACGTGTATGCCTAATAGAAATGCATCATCATTTTGGAATAAGGCGTGGTCAGAGAAATAAGAATTAATATGAACGTCAACATTGTCTAAAAACTGATCAATCAGTCGCAATTTTATAAATAAATAAACTATTTGAAGCATAAATGGGTTAATGGGAATAACAAAAGCTAGTGAATGGTTTACAACAAAAATCATTTTCAGTGCAACGCCATACTTGGTACGTGGTATATATTACTACGTACACACACACACGAACATATTACTTTGGGAATAATAATAATAATAATAATAATAATAATAATAATAATAATAATAATGCTTTTAATTACCAGACAAGATCGATGAATTTATATGATGTAATGTATTAGAGTATATTATACATTATACATAATACATACCGGATGAGTTTATATGATGTAATGTACTGTGATCAGGAAATTAATTAACTAATACTCCGTATATATTACCTGAGAGAAGGAACAGACACAAGAGATGCAACATGGCAATGCAAAGAACTCTTGAACTCATCCTTCAATCCTAGCTAGCTGCAATATAATTATAATTATAATTATATATATAATGGTCTTTTCTTCTTAATTATCTCTAGCTAGTTTATTGATAGATGAATATATACGTCTCCAAGAGAGCAAAAAGAGAAACGCAATAGAAATGACCTATGTATTTCTGTGAGGGGAAGAATTGAAGCCATTTTGTACAAGTTTGTATATATACCTACATACATGTGTATGTACATTGCAAAGAATCAAAGCTTTCTTTAATTTTAGTAGAGGTTAGTGTTATAGAATATAAGAAAACTTAAGACAAGGGCATGGGATAGTTGGGAATTTCAAGAAAGGAAAGGTGCTTAAATAGCAAAAAATAGAAAATGATACAAAGTATATATTTTGGCTAGAAACAAGCTAGAGTAGTCATATTTTGGGAAACTGGCTATCTTTTTATCATATTTTGCCAAAAGACGGCACCTATATTGCTATGAGTGTTTTTAATTCCACAAATATGACTTCTTTTAGTTTTTTCAGAAAAAGCTAGTGATCCATCGCATCAGCTAATCCCCTATATATTTAATACTCCCTCCGTCCCTTAAAACTTTGCCAAGTTTGACCGGCACGGAGATTAATAAAGTAAAAACTGTGTGGTAGATATTTGTGCAGAGGAGAGAGAATTAACTGAAAGCACAAATTCTTTACTCAAAGGGGAAAGTGGCAAAGTTAGTGGGACATCAAAAAAAGGAAAGTTGACACAGTTTTAAGAGACGAAGGGAGTATAACATTTATTATTTTAATATGAAACCTTAATAATATATAAAAAGTAATTAATGTTGCATTCCCTACTCATCCATTCAGACAGTCTTGGCATAAAAACAAAAACTGAACATCACTTATTACCTTTTACTACCTCCGTCCCGAAATAATCGTCCTGGTTTGACATTCACACAGATTACGAAAGTGAAGTTGACTTCACACTGTAGTGACACTGTTTGGCACTGTAGCGACACTGTTTTGCACTGTTTGACACTGTTTTGTATAGATTTGTTTACCAAATAAGGAAAGAAGACAATTATTTCGGGACGGATCGAAAAAGAAAGCATGACAATTATTTTGGGACGGAGGGAGTATTATTAAGATGGGTGAGTATTTGTTACTACCTCCGTCCCACTAAGATTGAGACAAGAGAAGGCGGGACGATTATTAAGAAAAGTGGGTTTGTGTGGTTGATATTAAATTGATAAAATAAGAATAAAGTAAGAATGATTTAGAGCCACACAAACTTTACCAAATTTGGTATGGGACAATCTTAGTGAGATTTTTCGAAAAGGTAAAATGAGACAATCTTAGCAGGAAGTATTTGATTGTGAGTGAAGTTCCCATGCTTTTCTGGGATCCAAACTATATTTTGTTGATCTTTATAGGTAAGAGATCTTCCCCAATCTCATCAGTAGAACATATTTGTCTCCAATCTCTGTTATACCTTTAGGTTCATAAAATTAGACCAAAAGGAGGAGTTTTCTTTCCAAGCCCACCAGATTTTTAACTGAAAAGCTCTTTGAATATCCAGTAGAGCTCTTTGAAGCTCTCTGAATCATGCGGCATACATATCTAATTACTTCATTCAGTCCAGTGGGACGTTACTTAGATTTGCCATCACAATATATCTCCCCAGAAAAAATTGGACATCTTATTATTCAGAATGAAAATGACTTTCACGGGAGCTTAAAAGTGACCAAATATTCAGGGACTACCTTTTTTCTGGTAATAAAACAGTTTTTTAGCAAGTTATCATTCTGTCCAGATGCCGCTTCATATAAATATTAGCCACATTTAATAATACTCACATATACAATTTGTGACATTTGAATATTAGTTGCATTTAAATATTTCTTACATTATCATTTTACATTGTTTTCATTTTAGTTACATTATAGTAGTAGTTGCATTTCAATTGCATTTACTGTACTCACATATTAATTGCATTCACTATACCTACTTGTCACATTATCTTATAAAATTTTGTCACATTTGAATATTAGTTGCATTTAAATATTAGTGACATTTTAATATTTCTAACATTCTCATATTACTATGCTCACATTTTAATATTAAACTCACATTTTAGTTACATTTTAATATTAGTTACATTTAATCTTAACCTCACATTTTAGTTACATTTTAATATTAAACTCACATTTTAGTTACACTTTAATATTAGTTACATTTTAATAGTTCACTCACATTTTAATATTAGTTGCATTTTAATAGTACTCACATTTAAATATTTGTTAGAGTTTAATATTTGTTACATTTTAAGATGTCGCAACCTAGACATTCTGCACATTTGGGTAACCTCCAACACAACCAAAAGAAGGAGATTGTGAAAGGACATTCTTCTTCGCGAGGCAAAGGTAAAGGGCATGTCGGGTCTTATTCTCAAAGCCAGGATGATTTTGACACGACTTACAACCGGGGAGACAATGCCCGATGAGCAACTGGCTCAACTATTGGCCCAATGACATGACCGATTTTACCAACAACAAGACATTCCCGAGATTGATGAAGAGCACGGGGATGACAACAAGAAGTAGGAGGAGCCGACAACAGTTGAAGATGAACAAGGCGACGAGGAAACCCCCGATGAGGAGGTGGAAGAAAGAGCTGGTCCATCCCAACCCGATAAAAAACTCAAACCTCTTCCTTTTGTAAATCTTTTTGATAAGGTCAATAACATGACCGACAACAAGTGGTATGCAACTTGCAATCATTGTAAGCAAGTATTGGGCTTGGGGACGTCGATGGGATACGTCGGGGGCTCATAGGCATTTGAAGGTCTGGCACCCTACGGACTACGGAGGCAGCGAAACTAATAGGTAAGGGGACGCAAACACAAATATTGAGTTTTGCAAATAATCAACCTTTTTTATAATTTCGTTTATGATGATGCGAAACATTTAATTGTTATGTCTGAACTAATATGTGAAGAAAATTTGTCTTTTTATCTGAAAGTCTTGTTTTATGTGCTTGTGCTCAAGGTACTTTGAATCCTCAATTTTTTTTTCCGGAAGGCAAACCACCAAAATCAGTGGGGTAAATGCCGGGAGTCAGATACCAGCATTTTATTAAAAAGCTGAATTACAAAGCAAGAGGGGGACGAAGCCAAGACCTCTTGAGGGAAAAGGGATAGAAAAAAGTGAAATCCGAGGGGGCTAGGCCTGACCCGGAGACAAAAATACAATTAATGAAGTCGAAGAGAAGCTATTCCAAAGAGGTCCATGAAATAAGCCCTTTTAACCAAGCAAGGAAGATCATCCGGGCTAGCAAATATTTGTATTGGACCCGAGTGAACTTGGGCCAGGAAGTGGACGGCCCCGTTAACTTCCCTGTAAGCATGTCGAAATGAGATCCCATTCCTAATCGCAATAAGCATAGTTTCCTGAATTAGGGTTCTCCATCTACGCACCTCAGGTTCCAGGAGAAAACTAATCGCCATGGCCGAGTCCGTTTCAAGCTCAAAATCTCTGAAGCCCTCGCTCACCGCCCACCTTAGAGCTGTAGAAATGGCCTGTAGTTCAGCTTCAAGTGCTGATGACGCTTCAATATCGAAGCTAGCAGCTCGAATGAGATGACCACTCTGATTTCTCAGTATAGCTCCTCCAGTCGCTAAGCGAGCTAAGTATCGAGCAACCGTATTAAGCTTGATCATCCTGCTAGGTTTGCGCCATTTTAGAACTTGCAGGTTGCATTTCTTACTACAAAAATCCTTACGAATAAAATGCTCTTCATACAAAATCTTATCTATTGAACATACTTTGACACCCTTCAGAGATTGTGCCCAATTTTGTGTGTATATCTTGATAGAGTTGATAATTTCAGTAGATGTATTAGTGTTCCCCTCACCCCATTGATGGTTTGAAAAGACTTTCCAAATATACCAGGAAATGATTCCTGATATATTATGCCTGAATATATCAGCTAGGTCCAGTGAGCCTGCCTTAAGCCAAAAGCTTCTGAAAACCTATTGAATAGTATACCCAAACGGGTCTCACCCTTCTGCATTTATAAAAAATGTGGTCCAGAGATGCCCCACTATTCCTGCAATAGGGCAAATGGACGGATTAAGCATAATATGAAACTTATTTAGCATTTCTGGGAAAGGAAGTATTCCTTTGATAATTTTCCATTGCAGGATAGTAATTTTCAGCTCCTGTCTATGATGCCAGAGATGCTTAAAAGAGAGGGTTGGTAGAAGTTGACTCCTCACTTCAGTATATGCATATTTCAAGGTGAATTGCCCAAATGTTTCTGAATTTTAGGTGATAATTCCATTAGAGGATTGAGAGCACAAGGATAAAGCATAATCATTGATGTGACAGATCCTTCTCCATATAGAAGAGTCAGAGATTTTAGGTATCATATCAACTCTATCATATCTCTTTTTTATAAATTCAGTCCAAATGGACTCTCCAGCTTTCCATTTCCACCATAATTTGAGACTGAATGCTTTTTCAATGTCAGTAAGAGACCTGATACCCAAACCCCCCTCATCAGTAGGGTAGCAAAGATTACTCCATTTAATCCAATGAATTTTTTTCTTATTTCCAGAAGATCCCCATAGGAAGGAAGTCATTTTCCTATTGAGGATAGTGATGACTCTCTTAAGCAAGGTATCAACAGCTAGAACATGCAAGGGAATGGAATTAAGGACATGTTTAATTAAGACCAGCCTTCCCCTTGAGATAAGTTCTTTTGATTCCAAGTAGTAAGCTTCTTCTCGAACTGATTAATGATCTTTCCACAGTACTCAAATCTGTTGACCCCTTTGTGCGAGTTAACTCCCAAATATCTGATTGGAAGAGAAGCTCTTTTCATCCCCAAAAGATCCTTAATTTGATTGACTCTTCTAAGTGAAGTTTTGCCACATAGAAAGAGGCTCTTATCCAGATTGACAGTCTGCCCGGAGGAGTTTTGGTACTCCCTCAAGAATTTATTAAAATTCAAAATAGATCTTGACTCACCATTTAGAAAAACAAGAAGGTCATCAGCAAATCCTAGGTGAGAAATAGGAAGACCTGATGGCCCCATCCAGTAAGGCTTCATCTTCTGTTGGTTCAAAAGATATAAAATACTCCTTGAAAAAGCCTCAGAGGCTATTATGAATAGAAAAGGTGATAAGGGGTCCCCTTGTTTAACCCCCCTACTAGGCTTAAAGAATCCATAGGGAGACCCATTAATCAAAATAGAAAGATTAGTAGCTTGTAAGTTATTCAAAATAAGCTTCACAAACATGGTAGAGAACCCAAATTTCAACAGAATATCAGATTAAAACTTCCAAGAAAGTTTGTCAAAGGCCTTGGCCATATCTAATTTAACCACCATAACTTTGAATCCTCAATTTCAAAGCTATTGTTGCAAAACAATTAAAAAAGAAGTTAAAGACAATATTTTTAGAAAATGACAAATTGAAAATGTTTTTCGCAAACTTTAATGAACGTATTAGTATTTGTAATGATATATAGGAATATACGTATCATCATTTGTATTATTTAGGTATGACTGCACATTCTATTGATGATAATTGACATATTCATATAGGTGTTATCGTTTTTCGAGAATTTAATGACCGACACACTAGTGATAATAATATCATCAAACTAATGCTAATTTAAAAAAAATGACCACATTGATATTTGGACCAAAATAATACTAAAATGAATATATCACATTTTCCATGTCACTCTCTTATGCCGTCACTCTCTTATGTCACTGCAGCCGCCACTTTTCGTGTCACTGCCAGCATTGCTGCCACCAGTCACCGCCACTTGTCACCACCGCCAGCCTGAGTGACACCTTTGGTAGCGACATCTCAGCCGCCGGCCGCAGTGACACCGCCTCAGTGACAGCACCGCCCAGCCCACACCACCTCCAGACCCGTCCCGGCCTGCTCAGAGACTCTTCCTAGCCCCAGTGGTAAGTCTCCAGCACCCCTGACTCTATCTCAAAACCCCAACCTCAGCCCCAACATCTAGAGGCTAGAGCCTCCGTCAAAATGCATGACAAGTGACAACTCCCCTCCATAGCTCCCATGTCCCGCAGTGTTACGGTCTACCCGCCCAGCACCGCCCAACAACCTGCCACAATCAAATCCGCCCCCAGCACCGCCCAGCAACCCGCCATAACCGGATCCGCCCCCAACACCGACCAGCAATGCATCCTTGCCCCATCAACCACCGCCCTCATCGCCCCAACCCCTCTGAAACTCGCCCTATCCCCAGCCACCGCCCTCCTCGCCACAGATCTGAGGCTAGTGAATAGAGACGGGGAGGAGAATCAACGAAGAAGGAGAAGATGAAGAGAAGTCGTTGTCGCTTCTCATCGGCGTCGTCTACTGGTGGTCTCCGCCTGCTTCGATGGCGTCGCGTTGGTGGTGAAGTCATGGTGGTCTCCGTCTGCTTCTCACCCGCTTTGTCCTTTGCAATTCGCATCTGCAGTCCGATGAAGGAGAGAAGGCATGCGATTGAGTTACAGGAGAAGAGGGGTTGATGGAGTCAGTTTTTTGTGTATGTTTAATATTTGTGCCATTGTTTGTTTTTTATTACCATTGAGCGTATTTTAACTGAATATAATTTGATTGATAAGATCTTTATTATCGATTTTTATGATGCTAGTAATAATACTGTTGTTATATCTAGATTTGTAATTTGTGTGATCCTTCTACTTTGATTAATAGCTTTTTCATCAACGTTGTGCATGTCATATTCTTAATTTATATGTAAAAGACGGTTTAACTGCATTTGAAACTGTGAGGGGGAACATGAAGGAGAGTATTAGACTTATTAAGGGTAATACTCGATTTAAACTGCAATAGCGTGAATATTAGAGAGTTATACATGTTAGATATTGTCTTTCCTAAAGATTTGTCTTTTAAATGGAATAGTAATTATAAATTAATTTCTATATTTCTTAAATTTAAGGATCATTTTCTTCTTTTTAAAAGAAACTTGTAACTATATTATAGAACCGGTTGAGATCGACACTATGGAAAAAATTTGCACCATTTTGGTTTATTTTCATAATGCAACTCAATTTTTTTCTTATGTTTATACTTTATACACCTATTGGCTATTGCAAACCTATTTTTTGTTGAAGTTGTTAATCTCGCCAACGCTTTTAAAGAATTTTCCAAAGCCCCCTACATTCATTATTTTTATTCTTTCAAGAAATATATATTTTTTAAAATAGTATTCCTTAATCCTATCTATATATGGTATTGTCTTTGTTCTTGATCCTCGTTTCAAACTTGCTAGTTATTGATATTGTTTAAAGTACTACTATACTTGTTTCTATGGTGAATTTTCTATGTACGAAGATAAGCTCTTAGGCCCTCAAGCGCAATTCAATGATTTTAGTAACTTTTTTCATAATTTTTTTAATGAGTTTCATGCACATTATGATATCGTATTATCGTAAACCCTCCCCCAAAACCAATTGCTTCTTCATCTAAAGCAAAATGAATTTTCAAATCTACATTTGGCAATCTTGTGGAAAAAGTAAATCAATTCCCGTTGTTTCACAAAGCTCGATCAACGAGCTTCTTTTATGTCTAACATTTCCTTATGAGTATGAAGATGTGGAAGAGTTTGACGTTCTCCAATGGTGGGAGGAGAAAGAAGGAATGTTGCCGATTTTATCAAAGATGGCGAAGCAAGTACTGTCAATGTTGGTTTCAACGATAGCCATGGAACAAGAATTTAGCAAAATCAAAAACGTCCCAACGGATTATAGAACGAGATTGAACGCACAATCTATGGTGACATTCATTTACTTCCACGATTGGTTGAAAGTCGTACGTAAAACTTAAGAGTTGTGCATCACTCCCGACTGCCACTTCATGAAGGAAACTACAACCGATGCTATCATGCTAGCAAGGATTCCGACGATTAGCAATCCTCAATTGTAATTCATATTTCAAAGAAATCTACATTTCATTTTTAATCTACCACTTGTTGTACAAATTAGGTAATTTAAAAAGAAATCAATCCGACATGACTTGGGACCCGCTGGCCGCTCCGGTACCCGGACCGGAACCGGACCAAACCGGGTCGGTACCGGGCTTCAATATTTTAGAACCGGGACCAGCTCGTCCTGATCCCGGAACCGGACCAGACCGGATCCATGACTAATCACACACATGGGGTATATTAGTGCGAAAAGGAGTGTGTGTTCCAATAGTATCTAACCCAATGGGAGCATTACCCAAATGGGTAGCAACTAGCAATGCAGGCATGCAGCAAAGACAGCCTGTTTGAAATACCCACAAGGGCTTTACCTGTAAAAATGATGTGTTGGTGACATTTTTAGATGACTAAATAACAAGAGTATAAAACACGTAAAAGTGCTTTCAGAAGAAGCAATGGAAAATGAGCTTCTTGTGAAGTGCTTTCGAGCTAAATATTACTTTTAGAAACTCCCATCATAAGCAGTGTGTAGCTGAATTATACTGTTTTTTAGTAAAACACAACCTTGTTTAACACAACCACATCCAGACGAGCCTAAACTGGAGTCATAAGCAGATCAGATTATTGGTCAATTCTAAACATCAGCAAATTTTGCTTTATCCTCTATTTGGTTTGTGACATTTAGACAGGTATTTGGTGACTTCATTCCAAGCTGCAAACATTAGATGTATCATGTATGTGTGTATGTATTAGAATATAGAAAGACTAATCCTCTTTTAATTAAGTAGGACCACAAAATGCTTACTAGGGAGATTCCTGAAATCCGGTTCAATACCATTTCCATTAATGTCCATGTGATTTGGTGTAACATACTTCCCAATAGTAACAACCACACCTGATCCGTCTTGAAGCTCAAAAACAGATTGAATCAGACCCTGCACAGCAAATTTAACACTGCTTTGAGTCAACGAATACTTGCCACACCACTTCTCTTTATATAGTAATATACAGCCCACAAGCTAAAGGCCCTTTTTTCATGAAAAGTTAGTGTCTATTTAGAAAACCAATAAATTAAAACATAAAAGAATGAACAAGTTTCCCTCCCATGTTTATTGTACTTTTGCTTATCACGTTTCATTAATCTAGCACTTACAGGGATATAGTTGTCAATTTATATCAAAATTAATGATTACATAAGAACCAACTTTACCTTAGTGGGCAACTATTAAGAACAGGAGTAGAATTTAAAGATATTCTTATGTATATTTGGTCTGCCACGTCATCTATAGACAAACACAAAGTACCAGTATTTTGCTATAGACCCACTACCATGTCAATTGATATATCATTGGATTTCATGTCAAGTCAATAAATTGTTTATTAACTACAAGGTTAGCCTGTATTGGAGTCTATGGATGGTGTAGTAGGCTAAGCCTACCATGTGAATTATTGAAATCATCAAAGGGGGAGATCAGAAACTTTTACTAGCATGGTAGGCAAAAGTTCATAAACAATTCACTTTTGAGTTCCTTAAACGTATTGGTAGTATTCCTTTCCTACATTATATAAAGCACTTAAAGCTATTATACTTATATATGAAGATATTGAATATCCAATAGCTAGTAACCTTTCCATACGTCTGCTCACCCACGAGAACAGCTCTGCAGTTATCATGAAGTGCAGTGGCAACCTGGGGCTAAAATCAATGTTAAAGTATTCATTGTGACAAAATATACCATATGGAAACAGTACAGTCTGAGTAGCTCACAATTTCACTCGCACTTGCTGTATTTCTATTCACCAGAATCTGCATTGGAAGTAAGAAGGTGACATAAATGATGAACCGTATAAAGAACGAGAACTACCAGATAATTGGACATCTATATTTAGAGTTTCTGGCAAATCTGCCTACTTATCAAATATGTGCCCTACAATTCATACTACAATTCATACTACAATTCATATTCCATTTTAGGTCCCTAAATTTCAAATGAGTTGAACCTCTCCCTCCAACTCACCAATCTAGTGGTGATTGGAGATACAGCTTAAGCAACAGCATCATCATTAATTCATCATTACGGAATTTCAAGTGTGTTGGGGTTGACAGCATAAAACTTAGAGCAAATCTAACAGCATATAAAGGTTCAGATTAGACTGTCATCACTCTTAAGAGATCAAATGAGGGTGCTCCCACCACATATTCTATAAAGATTTTTTTTAACAAATCCGTAACATTCCTTAAACATTTCACTGCGCCTTTAGTGTTGATTACTTGTCTAAAATTCTCTAACACTAAATTCATACAAAAGCTATAGTATCAAAGTTCTACACTGGATGCCCTACCTGTCCCAACCTCTTCTAAAGAAAGGACAATGAGATAAAATGACAAAAGTATGACCATACGTTTTTAATCCACTTCTGAGAAAAATAAAAACACAAGACGCAACCAGTTGAAAAGGTTGCCGTAATTATGTCCCTTTTATAATGTCAAAAAACATGCATTTAGGGACAATTTTAACACCTGGAAGAGGGGGGTGGGGTGGGGGGTGGAACATGGCTATAAGCTTATAAATATAGACCAAACAAGATTACCACGTAAGCTACATGTGTAACAAACAATTAGGGACTACCAAGAGAACAGTTGCTTACAATAACAGGGGCAGTAATTAGAGGTGGAGATTCTGCAACAATACTCTTAGTGTACTGTGGGTCCCTTCCAACAGTGTATGTTACCTGTTCAAAATCACGAGGACATATTAGTTATGATAATGTGTGTGTTTTGGTTCACGTGCGAATTGGACTTTTAGTTCCCTGGATTGCACTTATATGCTGAAGTAATGCACTTTGCACGTTGAAAATAGGTTTATTTACTTAAGAAACACAGTGATAATTTGTAAAAACGTGAACTTTGTCATTGCAAAAGTGCGGTAGTTTGACATAAAAGTGTGAATGTGGGGTGTAGGTGCAATTCACATGTTCACACATTATATATATAGGGTCTGATTCTAGGGAGAATGATTCTTCCCGTGATAAATGAAAAAGATGCAAAACGGTGCACATCGAAGTTCATGGAGTTGCACATTTCTGTTTAAGATATTGCACACTTCAAACAGTGGAAAAAGTTCACTTTATTTACACAATGTCACTATGTTGAGTAGGCTATAAGTTTGGTCCTCCTACTCCTTGTATTGACATTAATGAATTAACATAGTGACATTTTGTATTGACATTATTTTGTTTACATCGTTGAACCTTTTTAATACATTTTAATTAAAAGTTCTTTATATTTGCAATAATGCCGCTGCGTTTATATAGGGAAAAGTACGGAAAATATACTTGTGGTTGGGCCTTTTTCAGATAGGGTCATGTGTTTCATTTTTTATCAAAGTGGTTCATGTGTTTGAATTCCGTAATCGCATGAAGAGTCACGCCGTTAAAAACGTCTGAGAAAGACGGTTAATAGTAACTCCGGTTTTCAAAAGTGCCCAGAAAATTAAAAGAAAAATAACAGAAGGTGCGCCTCGTCAAAATGACATCGAAACCACCTTCGCCTTTGGATTTTTCGGATCTGTTTGAATTACTTTTCAAAATGATTTCGCTGATATCACTTTTCTGATGGACTTTCCGGTGACAAGGGTGGCTGGAAACAAAAAAAGAAAGAAGGCATAGCGGTCGTCTTGTTGAGGCACACCTTCCGGTATTTTTCTTTTAATATTTCGGGCACTTTTGAAATCGGAGTTACTATTAAGTGTGATAACGGAATTCAAACAATGAACCACTTTGATAAAAAATGAAACACATGACCCTATCTGAAAAAGGGTCCAACCATAAGTACCTTTTTCATACTTTTCCCTAAATATAATCTCATATTCTCATCCATCTATTTTCTAATAAAAATTGTTCACATTTTCACATAAGGAATACTTTTTATTTAGACCAAATTCTATGTATATGTATAGCAATATGTATGTATGTATGTATACTACCTCCGTCTCCCTATTATTGTCCCATTACGGTTTACGACGCTTGACCGGCGATAAAGCAATCGAGTCCTTGTCCGCACTCAAATTATTTTCAGAAAAAAAATTACATATTCAGAAACTACATTAAAAACTTTATAAATCGCGAAAACCAGAATCAAACTTGATAAAAACTTTATTAAGAGTGATTTGTGTTGACCAAGTGAATAGGAATTGGAACAATAATAGGCGGACGGGGGGGGGGGGGGGGGGGGGGGGTATAATTATAATATAGAGTGATGTTGCCGTAAAAAGTGCGAACGACTTCCCTTTTTGATCATACACGATGCACTAATGCTTTCAAATAATGCACTTTTTGCATTGACATGTTTTTTTATTTAATAATGAAAATATCACCGCATTTTTATCAAATTTAATGCACTGTTGGCATATTTAGTCATTAGATCATAAATCGATCCACCAAATTTATTCCTACTCTTCATGAGAATGACACTTTTCATTTGAACGTATATATATAAGGAAGAGTTAAAATGAAACGAGGTGCTCCCGTGCAAAGTTCGAACGGTTGCACTTTTTCCTCACCGTGTTGCACTTTTGCATGCTTATGTTGCATTTTTTCGCGGTGGCAAAAAACTTTGGTTTATTTAAGAAATTGCCACCGCATTTTTTGATCAAATTTAGTGCATTAGATGTGGAAATGAATGCACAAGATTCAGTCTCACTTTGCATGGAAAGACCTTTTTCTATTTGAATTTTCCCCTATATATATAGGGAAAAGATCATGTGAGAAGTGTGTCTTAGACTAAGAACTGCGAAATTTAACTAATAGAGATAATGAGATAACTTATACTATCCTCCGTTCCATAAAAGTTGCAACAGTTTGACTTTCACGTTTGCCAACACGCAACTTTGACTATAATTATATTTATTTGCGTATTAGTAAACATTAAAAAAAGTTAATATATTGGAAATTTACATTAATACAAATTTATTAATATTTTACACATAATATTTTTATTATATATATTATTAGAAAATCGTAGTCAAAGTAAGGTGTGTGAATAGTGCAGAAATTCCAATGTTGCGACTTTTATGGAACGGAGGAAGTATAACAGAAACCATAACTTATAAATCCAACAACTCTAGATCAAAAGTATAATTTTATAGTGATAAATTGAGGACATATGAGATTACAATGAAACACACTAGTAGTAGTTGAAAAATATTTACAAAAGAATATTTATCAAAAAGATATTTATTTATTTACCAAAACATATATGTCCTGATAAACTATTAATACGTTAAACATAACTTATAAAGCCAAATGTTTAACTTTTACAACTTTTTAAATTATTTCGCAGTTCTAAGTCTAAGAACACTTCTCACCTGATCCTCTCTCTCTCTATATATATATTGAATAAAATAAAAAGTTGTATTATTGTGGAAAATGAGAATGATTTGCGTGCATTGGGTAGGAGATCTTATGGTTATAAAAATGCAATTAGTGCAGCAAATTGTGTTAAAAAGTGTTAAAATTCCATAAATAAGTGAACATTTTTGTCAATACGTAAAAGTGTAGTATTCGAACCTAAAAGTGTAGTGTAGCGAAGTAAAAGTGAAGATTTCACATTTCTCAGGTTAAACAATCTTTTTATTCAAATTGCATCCTATATATGTCTGTATGTATTCTCGCGCGTGTATGGTCATACACATATTTTTACCCGGCATGCAAACCACTTACACAGTGGGGTAAATATCGGGGAGCATACATACACACACATATATATACTCCTTTCCCATGGAACTCCTGATTTTGGCATCTAAACTTGAAAAATTGGATCATACCATTTGCCCTTCATTCAGGAAAAGTTTGGCAATTTCAACGCCTGCCTGAAATAAGAACGTTTTGGAAAAAATAAAACTTCCAAAAAACGTCAGACAAAATAAATTTAGTCTCTAACTAAGTTTGTAGTCCCTCTGTTCCACTTTGTAAGATACATTTTCCTTTTTGAATTGTCCCAAAAATATGATCACTTTTCTAAATTGAACTTCAATAACTTTTTACCTTCTCACTTTATCCCATTATTTTTCATTTCATACTTTATACTTTTGGAATTTTATTAATCCAGAACCCGAAAGTTAAATGAATTATCAATCCGAGACCCGAAAGATGAAGTGTATCGATATAGGACCCGAATGATGGACAACTATCAATTTAGGACTTGAATGATTGGAAATTATTAATTTAGGACCTAAGTTGTCCGAAATTTTATTAATGTTTTTATCTTAAATTTTTTAAATACTATTTAGTTTTATGAAACTAATAAACTTTTGTGAAGAAAAGTTTATAAAAAATTAACAATGGAATTAATAAAAAATTAAATAAATCAAAGCCTATGAAATTTTAGGTCCTAGATCGATAGTTTTTCATCATTCAGGTCCTATACCGATAGATCTCATCTTTCAGGTCCCGAATTGATAATTCATCTATCTTTCGGGTCCTGAATTGATAAAATTCCTTTACTTTTTGTGGATCCATCTTACGCTTTCTTACCTTTTAGAGGTTAGAATTGTAAAACAACCACTTTATCCTCTATTTTCACAAAATCCGCACCAAATCCACATGTATATGCAATGTTCGAAATTGCGTATTGCGTAATCATGGCGGATTTTTAGAATTGCATATTGCGTAAGCCTCATTGCGCAATGAGGCGTATAGTTGAGGCGTAAATAAATATATATATATAACAAAAAACATTATTCAAAGAGAAACCGGCAAATGCAATATTAAAACAAATCATAATGGTGGAACAATCTTAGGAAAAATAATCCTGAATAACAGCAAAAATTTCTGAAACTTCATAAAATAATCCTAAACATATTAGATTGATGATTGAAAAATCGAATCATCCCTATCTAGTGTTTAATTGAATGGAAACAAAAAGGCATCAAACAGAGAAGCATAAAAAAGGCAGTACACAGTTGAAGTTATCATTAAATATAATAACTGGAAAAAAATATTCATAAGTTGAAACTTAATCAGTTAATCGAAGGATAATAATAAAATATTAATAGTCAGAAAATTAACATTACTAATTAGTGTTTAATTGAATAGAAACAAAAGGCATCAAACAGAGAAGCATAAAAAAGGCAGTACAGAGTTGAAGAACTTACTGGTCTGTTGAAAGTTGAAAACTTAACTGAAGAAAAATCATATAAAATTAATAGGCAGAAAATTAACATTAATATTAAATAATGTTAACTTTCACCGTAGAAATAAGGCAGTACTGCAGATTCGAGGAATGGTAGAAGAGGTTCACACTTTCACCGTATCTGTTGATTACTTGATTGCCAACAAAGTGGAAGAAGGCAGTGGAAGGAAAAGAAACTGCTGATTGCGACCAAACTGGAACTCTGGAAGAAGGCGGTGGAACTGCTAATTGCGTAACAATGGAATGGGAAGAAGCGGCTAAACGAGAAGGCCGCATATAACATAAACCGTTAAAAGTGGGCCCAGCGGGCCAAAAAATAACTTTACCCATTAAAGAATTTAAACTACGCCTTACATACGCCTCATGGCTTACGTTATATTGCGTACGACATAGCGTTAAAAATCTACGCTACAGACCCAATCGCCATATGCAATGCAATTTTACGCCACAGACTTTGAAATAGTAGATGCGCGCCATAAGGCGCAATTGCATTGCGCAATTGCAAACCATGTGTATATGACATTATGGGACATAAGTCATATCTTTTAAAATCAATTAATGATATAATGTAGACTAATACGTCTTTTTGAAACAAAAGGTAGATCGAAAACAAATACATAATGAGAGTCATAAATACTACTACCTCCGTCCCATTGAAAGGTTCTTATGGCAAAAAACGACACAATTATTTAGATAATAATTAATTAAGATAGTTCGAGTATACAACAACAAAATCAACAACAACATCCAAGCCTTAGTCCCAAAAGATATTGGGGTTGGCTAACATGAATCGATACATGACATCACCACCAAAAGGAAAAGAAAGAAAATAAAGATAAAAAAGATAAGCTATTATAAAAAGATAATATAAAAAGAGATGAATATACATAAAAATGATAAAATAAAAAGGATACAAATAATGCTTATATATAAGAATAAAAAACAAGGAAAAAAGATGGGGGAAAAAGATGATACGAGATCACTCCTCCACATGAGTACCCGCCCTCCACTTAGCTCTTTCCAAAGTCATGCCTTCATCCAACACCAGAAGAAGCATATCACTTCGAACTCCCCTAACCCACATCTGTTTGGGTCTTCCTCTCCCTCTCTTCCATGCCTCTTCTCCACACATCTCAACTCGTCTGAGAGGTGCATCACTCGGTCTTCTACGCACATGACCAAACCACCGTAGGCGCGACTCCCGCATCTTGTCTTCAATAGGTGTTACTCTCACCCTTTGTCTAATTATCTCATTCCTCACACGGTCCTTCCTAGCATGCCAACACATCCAACGCAGCATGCGCATCTCTGTCACACTCATCTTTTGAATGTGACATTGTTTCACCGCTCAACACTCTACGTCATACAGTAATGCATGCCTAATTGTTGTCTTATAAATTTTACCCTTCAGTCTAGATGGCATACCTCGATCGCATTGAAATCCTGACGCACTCTTCCACTTCATCCACCCTGTTCTGATTATATGGGATACATCTCCATCTAACTCACCGTCCTTCTGAATTATGGAGCCCAAGTAACGGAACATATCGCTGACTGGTATCTCCTTACCATCCAGAGTAATTCCGCTATTACCACTGCTTCTACCTCCACCAAACTTGCACTCCATGTACTCTGTCTTGCTCCGACTTAGTTTGAAACCCTTATTCTCCCATATTTGTAGCCATACTTCCAACTTTGATTTAAGACCTGACTGCGTCTCATCAGTTTGAGTATATTTTGAGAAATAATTTTAATATGTATATAATATAATGGGATTAGTTTTCATAATTGTGATGTTATAAATGTATTATTTTTAATATGTAATGATTAGATTGTCATTTAGGATTGTTAATTGTTTCCTAAAATGGAAATGAGAACCTATATATGGAACGTCCAAAAAAGGAAAGTGGGAACCTTTGAATGGGACAGAGGGAGTACATCTTAACCAATTTATCCCACATAGGATATTCCAATTACATAGCTCATTAAACCGACCAACTAAGCATGCAGCCCATGAAGAAGAAAGATTAGATAGTTCCATCATGGATCTTGTTAAAGAAAGCAAGAGATTATATTGACATCTCAATGTCTCACCCTAAACAGATGTACACCCTAAACAGATTTACAAGACACACACTATGCACAACTAGACACATACTTAGACTTCAGCCACTACTCTTACGATAAAATGCGTTATGTACCACTCAAGTCGGACATTAAATATTTATCATATCCAAGTTGTTATGATTACAGCAATTAATTACTCATTTGCTAATGAAGGGCTCAATAAGCACAGTACTCAATCGTCCAAAGAGTTCATATTAGCAGTGGTCCCAAGATTATTGACAACCTTGACATAATAAAGATGTTTTTATGTGGATTGCTTTTAGTTTCAGACTAGGCCAAACTTAAATAGAACAGATTAGACCAAACTTTGATGGTTATAAAATACATATAGACCAGACATCTACCAGACTAGATCAAGCTAGACTAAATCATGCCAGAAAATTTCAGTCCAGTTGAAAATATCTTAACTTTTGTATTTGACCGTAAAATTGACCAAAATTGTTCAAAACATTTAAAGATTTACCAATTTTGGTTATGTTACAAAAATCATCAATCATGTGTTAAAGCTAAGTACAAGTTGATAACAAATATGTGTGTTGGTCCAAAAATGGGCGCTCATAAATTTTTCGAAAAGCTACGACGGAACACTCAAAGTAGGAATCACAATATACGAAAATAGAAAGTGCTAGGGAGTTTGGATGCTGGAAATTGCATGTAGTTATTGAACTTTAATTACTTTTTATAGGCGTTTTACAGAGTTTTAATCATTATAATCATAATGGCAAACTAACTATGACCTTAACACTATTAACTACGGTATTAAGCATTACACTTTTTCCATCATTTGCAATGGAGCCAAATATTCATTATTTTTTGGCTTGAGATTATGATGGAATAAAGCAAAATGGCTCACTAAATTGTCTGCGCTTCTTTGTTATGGAGCAGCAGTCAGTCCATGCAATCTTGGACGCGATTTTCACTATGGGTCATCCGGAAACAGTCTCTGTGTGCTTTAGTACAAGGGTAAGACTGCGTACATCCAACCCCCCTTTACCCCACCGTAGGTGGGAGCCTTTGCGGCACTGGGGTAAATGAAAATGATGATGATTAAGTATTACGCTAATTATATGGGGTGTTTGGAAATGATTCTGATTCTGCATCTTTTTTAAAGCAGAATCAGAATCAATTTTCAGAAGCTGGTCTACCTCAGCTTCTAAAAAACTGCCTCTGGGAGTAAATTAGAGCACCATAAGTAATTTTGCACTTTCACCCAAACACTCCAACTTCTGCTTTTGCTCCCTGAAGGAGCTGAAGCAGTTTTAAGAATCAGATCCAAACACTCTCATATTGACTGTTGCTCTTCTGGGCTAGCAGGTGTTCTGACTGGTATGTAGGCCGTTTGAACTCTTTCCTTAATGGGCTGGCCGACTCCTAGTTGGGCTAGTGGTCGGCTCCCTGTTGAGCCGGTGAGTGGCTTTTTGCTTACCTTATAGGTCGGCTTCTTACCAGGCTTGTGCATGACTCCTATCGAGCTAGTAGTTTGGGCCGATTCGAGCTCCTTACATATTGGGCCCACTGATTGGGTTGGCCAGGTGAGAAGGTGAGAAGATG